ATACAAAAATACGTATAGGAATGAAATTTATCCGTAATGAACACAAGAAATGAATATTGACAAGTGGTAACTATGTGACACAGATATGAATTGTAGATTTTTGAAACATGGCAACGATATTTTTGTTGTTTGTGTAAATCTGAAAGTATCTAAATTTTTTAACATATTATGGGTACGATAATTATTTATTAAAATTTTGTTTTTTAGTTACCTATACTGATCAAAAATACAAAACTAAAAGTTCTTGTATTGTTTGAATAAAATCTATGATTTGTAAATTTGGGAAATAATACTACATAATGACCAAAGAAAATTAGAATATACAAATCTAAATTTTCCGGTTCGTGCACGTTTTATTCGACGAAGTTATGGATTTCGATACAAATCAAATTTGGGTCACAACGGTGTTAAAATGTTTTTAGTACAACACAACTTACGGAGAACGACTGCCGCGCCGCCGTTACTGTAAAGCTCTTCGAATTGCGGAGGATATAAAATTCTGAGAATCACACGACATAGTGATTATTGTAAGAAACACGATTTATCGGTTTATGTACACTTTATATACAATATTATATTATGCTATTGTTATCATTATATTATTTCTATTAATGCCACAGAAGATGGAAACGCGGCGAATATTAACAACGTACAGGTTATGTAGCGGCGACAGGAGGACATGATGACGAGATAATTGTTATTATTATTATTAACGACAATAAGGTCTAGAACTGGCCAGTCTATTTGCGTAAACCTGAATACATTTTAACCAACTTATTATAGTCGTACATTTTGTCATATACTGTGATATACGTCTACAAACATTATGCAACGTATAAACCATATATATATGTGTGTGCAGCAGGGACTCAATATTATAATATACTATTATTATTTTAACCCTAATTTAATTTCCCGATTTCCCTATGGCCCAATCCGTCCCTGGCCATAGTAGTTTGTTAATTGTTCCTAACCTCGAGGCTTAAGTAAACAGTGATGGCCAAATTTAAGACGTGTTAGATTTTAGCGCTTATATGCTATTTACATATACTCTTTTCAGAATAAGAACGCACCAGATTTAAGTAACAAAACCGGTTTTGTCCGTGGCCGCCTGGTTCCTTCTTATTCTGAAAAGAGTATAGTACCTAAGTAACTAATTACAACCTCTTTGTATTGCCGTCTTGACGTTTAATTAAAAATAAATAAATAAATACAATTGTTTATACAAGTAAAATATAGCTATTAAGGTACCTATATTATTTCATAATAGGTTTATAAAATCATAAAATATTTATAAGCTAGGGTTCAGATTTAAATGCACTAAAAATGTTTTTTAGATTCTGAGTGGAACGATGAATGTATAGATTTTACAATGATGTGTTTTTTTTTTTTATATATTTTTTTTTGTGTCTGTGTACACGATAAGTAGTCGAAATAATGCTTCGAATTTCAACTTCAATATCTTGTTCGATTGGAAAGTGAATATCGTTGGTGCATTGGGGAGATAAAAATTTAAAATTCCCAGTAATTTTCAGAAGTGCCAAGAAAAACAAAAGAAAAATTAAGGAAAAACGGGAAGTTTTACGCAAAATCGATTTTTCACAAAATTGAATTTGGTTTTTGGTGTAGCATTAAAAAAAATTACCGTAGACACATGCAATTTTTACTGATTGTTTATATTTGAATTTTCTATACACGATAACATTTTCAAAATATTTTGATTTATTTTGAACAGTTTAGGGACATTTTCATTTAAAATTTTTTTTAGTTTTTTTTTCTAAAAATATCAATAAAATTGTATTTGTTAGTTAAAAAAGCTTGAAAATTTAATAGAAGGCTCCTAGTATATTTTTTCAAAGGCAGATGAAAAATATTAAAAATCCTTAGTCACAGTTTTTTTTTATAAGCATTTACAGTTCAAAAATGAACAAAATATGGAAAAATCATGAAAATTAGAAAATTATTTTGAGTTAAGAATTCATAAAACTTTTTCTTTTTAAATCTAAGATTTGAAAATGTAATACAAGATTACTCATAAGTTTGTCTACCTTTATCAATAAAAAAATCTCTACCGGAACGTCAAATTAAATTTTTATCAGGGTTTGAAATTCAAATTTTTACAACATTTGATATTCACTCGATTTCTCATGTAGCGATTTCTTTATTTTGTTGTAATTCAAAGACGAATAACTTTAGATACATGAAAATTTCACTGAATATTTATATTAGCATTTCTTATACACCATACAATTTTGAAAATATTTTGACTCTTTTTGAGCTGTTTACGGACAATTACAGTTTTCAATTTTTTTAGTTTTTTTTTTTTCTATAAATATCAATAAAGTTTTATCTGTTGGGCCAAAAAGTGTAAAAATTTAATACAAGGCTTCTGATATATTGTTACAATATCAGTTGAAAAATATGTAAAATACCCGTGGACAATTTTTTTTTATAAGCATTTAAAGATCGAATTTTGACAAAATTTATCAAATTTGAAATTGAATAATTATTTTTTAGTTAAAAATTTATAAAATGTTTAACTTTTAATCAAAGAATTGAAAATTGAAAACAATATTTCATGTAAGTAGTTAATTCTGTTACCAAATACTATAAAAAATACACAAGCATAGTTTATTTTTATAGTTATTTTAAGTTCAAATTTGGAAGAAATTTACATATTAAAATCGATATTAACGATTTTGGTTTTTTTTTGTGATTGTATTATATTATTCATGGGTACTTGACACTTCTAAAGTGTACTATTATATATCTATGATAGTATCACGGTTTGTTGTTGATGTATAACCCGTTATAAGTACCTAATGGATATTGTGATATGATTAATTTGGAATTTATTGTAGGTACCTACCTACCTATTATAGGTCAATTTTTTTAATACCATAAATAAGTATATAATATGCCATATACCTAGACTGACATACCTTCTCCGCTCAGAATCGTTTTTCTTATACAATGATATTATATCATTGAAATCAAATTTAATACCATCCATTATACAGTGACCCACTTGTAACTTACTGTACAGCAGAGCACCTTTTTTTTTATTAGTCAGTACAAATAAAATTATTTTGGTAGGTACCAACAAAAAAAATCCAACACGTTTTACTTATATTCTAGGCCCTAGAATCTAGAGTGGCGACACCATTCACCAATAAATGCACAAATTTAGTTTTGAATATTTGTTTTTATAAAATATTATAGTTTTACACATTTAATCATCGACCGTGGACCTACGAATTGAATTTGAAACGGATTTAATCCCAAAATCGCATTTTTGGAGTTAGGACAATATTGCGAATTAGGCTGATGATATGTATATTAATTCTAATAAATATTATTGTATACAAAACATTGGGGTGTACAATTAGACGCCATCAAGTCCAACATTAGAACTCGGATCACCTATATACTATATAGTATTACAGTGTAATACAGTGGCGGCGGGATATAGGATTATTTGAAGCAATTGCTTCAAGTCTGAAATGGGTGGGTGGGTGTATAAATATATATTATATACTCGTAAGACCTCAACACAAATATCATGGCAAATAATATTATAATTAATAATTATTATTGGCCTTTATTGCTAATTTGATTTAAAGAAGGGTGAGGTGGTAAAATTTTTTAAAATATACAATATGCTTCAAAGCCTCCACGATTTCGCGCCGCCACTGTAAATGGTATTCTATATACCTAACACCTAGGTATTTTATATAGGTAATTACTTTGGAAATTTTAACTGAATAAGTTAATAAGCTAAAAACAAAAATAATTAACTAGTTAAGTTAAAAAGTTAAAAAAAATTAACATTTTAACTTAACTTTAACTTTTTAACAAGTTAATGCCCACCTTTGTATTTACAGTACTGGGTTAGAAATTGTTCTACCCATGATTATAGTATGCACAATTATCCATCAAGCATGCTCATCATCATTTTTTTTCCTTTAATTATAAATTGAGAAGCTATATTGTAATCTAGTTATCTTTTTCTATTACTCTTTTTTACCATAAATTGTTAGTCTTATGGTTTTTTCCTACATTTTAATGTGCATATATTAAAATTGAAATAGTAGTTTCCGAGTTATTAAATTTTATTCACTAAAAATAATAGTCAATGCAAATATGTTTAAAAGATATTATAGTGATTATGATGATCCAAATATTACAACTATTTTATATAAAAACTATACCATAAATCACTGTTCAAAGATCAGCCATTAATTGGTTGTAATTAATTCATTTAAATTCAAGTATGTGTTAATCGAACACAGAGTTAATCTTTTATGCAGAAAACCATTAAAATATATGGTGACACAATAAATTAAATAAATGATACAAGCTCTTTGGCTGTTTGTACAGTTTTATCAAATTTTATAATTCCTAATTATAATACTTATACCAATAATGAAGCAATAATAGTTTGGTTTTATAAATAAATAACAATTATTTCACTGTATTATATTTAATAATATATAACAATAAAAACATAAAATTAAAATCTATAAAATATATTGACTAAAGGAATATCTATCTTGACTGGTTATTTATACAATTTACAGTAGCTAGAATGTCTATCTGTGAACTTGACATTGCCAATTTAAAAGAACATTCAACATAATATCAATATAAGTACTAAGATATTTACAAATACAATTTGGTACATTCCAAATAAATCAGCTGCACATAAAGTGTGATGTTATATTATTGTTATGAATTTATGAGATTATCACTTAATATGCTTTATTTGTCTAAATTCCATTAAAAACTGACTTACTACTTATGCAATTAATCATATTATGTATTATCAATACATAAAGTTTTTCAGAAAAAAAAATTATAATATAAAATTCATTGGATTATTTATAATAAATAATGAATTTTTTTATTTTATAAATAACAATATATATACAGCATAAAAATATAGTTAATAATTGTACACTTGTTAATTTTTTTTTTAATTTCAACAATTAACTTACCAATCATAATACAAGAATTTTTGATGGTTCACTTATGCGTGTAGTTGCAATATAAAAAAGGGTTGGTAAAGGAATGAGTAACAATAAAGCATAGTCAACTGGTGGATTTTCCAACTGAGTTATGGCTACAATACCAAATCCATGACTGACCCAATGTACAGCTACAATCAGTATGTTTCTTGGCACACATACAGTGTTCACAATCAAATACTTTGCAGACTATAGAATTTAAAATAGTATTATTTATTATTTTAATGAAACAGTTAAAATGTAGTACCTGATTTATTTCTGTAGCAAAATGAATCGCACTTGATATTACAGAAACAACAATTACAATATAAGGAAATGTGACATCTAATAAAAAAAAAATTATATTAATTTAAATAACGCATACTTAAAATAAAATGTTTTAAAATATACTTACAAACAATACCTCCTAGGAACGCATGAATTATAGCTGCTATAGGGAAAAAATATAATCCAGCATATATAGTTTTCAAATAGGCCCCTCTGTTAAGATTGAAATAAGCAGACAACAATGGACGTATCGTGAGCAAAACAATTATACAAGCCAGATAAAAAATAAAAATCATGGAATACCTGAAAATTGTTTACCAAAAATAAAAATATGTGAATACACATGGGGAATATTATTGAAATTATATAACATCATTGATAAACAGGTATAATCAATGGTATAAAATATAAATAAGACATACAATGGATATACAGCTTCTTGAGTACATCGTAATGATTCACGGTAATCTGGTGTTGGATTATACAAAACGGTATACCAATCAGATAGCCATTGTGTACGACATGATCGAATCCATAGATGTCCAATAGGATCAACAATTAGGACTGCTGAAACCGCTGCAATAAATATTTCCAATATTGCTGATATATTTAGGACAATTTTTGTTTTAGTTTTTTTCTGAGAATTTCCACTGTTATAAAAATGTAATAATTAATTTGGCAGTCAAAATATAAGAGATGAAAATATTAATAAATTAAAACACAAATTTAAAAATCAAATTCAAAAATAGATAGGTACCTTTTTCCTTTGAATGCCCATAATATTGACGACAAAGAAAGATCTATGTACACGGCATGAAATAATAAAGGCACTGTTGCCATGAATAAGAGGTACATGAAATCATATGATGAAGGAGAATCTGTGCATTGTTGACAAATATGAATTGAATTGACTTTTGTACCCGACGGACACGAACCACAATCACTTGTACGTCCATTACCTAAATCTAGTCGACCACAATAGTAACCAGGACATCTTGGTTCGATTATCTGGTCAATACTATTATGATTCTAAAATAATAAAATCAAAAACCATAATAATATATTAATGCATATTTGATGAAAAAATCTTACATTCTGTTATATTATATAATTATAGATTAACTCACTTCAAAAAGATGCTGGTAATATTCTCCCATTACAGTAGAGGTAAGAGAGTATAGATTTCATATGATCATACTATACCTAAGAGCACAAACATGGACAATGTCATTAAAATATATAGGTATATTAAATATTATAGGCAATATAGTGTTACTTCGTCACCGGAGGAGGGGATATAATACTCATGAAGAAATCATTTAACAGAAAAAAATACTTGAGATTATTTTTGTATGGAATATTATTTCCACAAAATAATATAATTTAGGAATGGTACATATTATACAGGAATAAGTATTTTCTTGAACTAGTATTTACTATTGACCGAAATTATACAAACCAGTAAAATACATTTTAAGAATCACATCTGGAACAATAATAATTCAGATCTCTAAAATGAAGACTGATATTAAACAGCACTTACTACGTTTATATTATATGATGGCGTTAAAACGGTTTAAAACTAAACCGTTTTGAAAGTTAAAATGCTCACGCTATGTAGTTTAAGAACTTAAAACCGGTTTATCAAATGTACATAATATACAAGTTTAAGCAAATAAAACGGTTTTAAGTTCTTAAACTACATAGCGCGAGCGTTTTAACTTTCAAAACGGTTTAGTTTTAAATCGATTTAACGCCATCATATAAACGGTACCGCAAAAAAATAACCCCGGAAATTTAGACCCCCGAAAAAATAACCCCGAGAAAAAATAACCACCGACAAAATAACCCCATAGGCCATAATATGAGATTTCGTAAATTAATCTCAAATCAATACAAAATGTATTACATACCTATTGGCTATTACCTACGTACAATATTAATTTTGGATTACGATAAAAACAATTCGGAGCACGGTCTGACTGTCATAATATATCGATCAGATATACAATATAACTAGGTACAGTGACATATTATAACGGATAAGAAAGGTACGAATAACTTTATCTTTAATGTTCTGATAATATTATAAAAGCTGTAATTTATAAAGTTTGTCAATTTTGTGTGTGTTCATTTCTCTGTATTCGGGACTACAGTGATGTAAAACAGTGTTCTTTCGTATATTATTATATATTTCGCTAAGCATTTGATTTAATTTCTTTTCGAATAGTTATGGATAGTTTAGATTTTTTCGAGAGCCACAGTTTGATACCCACAGTGAAAATAATGAGAGGGTAATTTATTACAAATATTTTATACTTTATTACCAAATTATTATATTATATTGAAACTGAAATTGACAAATTGTATTGTACCTATTCCACACTCATGGTGTGTATTTTTTATTTATATATTATTGACATTGTATTACAAATTTATACTTAATTATATTTATACTTACAAATCATTTTTATTATAGGGTTATTTTTTCCGTGGTTCTTTTTTCCAGGGTTATTTTTTCCGGGGTTATTTTTTAGGCAAATCATATAAATGTAGTAACTGAATGTTTCAGTACTGATAATAAATAGGAACCATATTTTACCAAAAAATACAGTCCTCAACTGTGTAATGTTTTCCCGATAAATACCCATCCTGTAAAATTAGATTCTTACATCAGTCCTGATTTTTGCAGTTCCAAGTAATAATATTATCATAATCACTACTGTTCCTAACTTATAGAATTCCAGAATTTTATTTTTCTGATTTATATAACTATTTCATATTAGTTTTTATGATTATTATAAGTATATCATTCCAAAAAAATACTGTGTAATACCTACCATTCTTAAATAATAACATAGTAAATAAATACTGGTCCCTGTAATTATTTTCCTGGTTAATATGTAGCCCAACTGGGCAACAGTCGTTGAGTTTGCATTTGCATATACCATACAATCAACAAAGAAAGTAACCAGAATGATTCAATAATTTCACAACAGGCTAAACTACGTGGTTGAAGAAGATAGGAATATGTATATCGTAAATAGTTGTTATTAGTATTTAGTATTTAGTACTGTTGTTTTACTTTTTGTTGAAATAAGCGATGGCGACTAGTCACTGTAACAGTGATTAATGGCTGTCCAATAATAAGTGTATTTTTGGTAAAAAAAAAAAAAAGGCATATACAGTGTAAAAATATGAAATAAAATTGTAAAGTACTCACACTAAGCTATATCAATTTATTACTTATTAGTAGTGTCAGTCTTGCGAGTTGCGGTGCTAACTATTTTGATGGGTATCAACAAAAACCATCGTTCATCCTAAAGCTTAACCGCAATTCGATGGCATAGCGCACAAATGTTGTAACTCTTAGATTAGAATACCTGTAACTTGCAAGTTGTAAGTGACATTTTCCGATTTTCGTAATTTTTCAGGAGAACGGCAATATTGAGATTTCATATCACTTAGATCACATGCACTACAACAAACGTCACCGACCTCTAGCAAACTAAATATGTACTATACACTTACAACATATTTTGTACCACGATTAAAGTATGACAATACGCAGAGTTGTTAAGAGTGTGCAATAGTAAAAGCGTTACGTATACAACGCTCCAGAGATGGCGTTGTGCGCCGTATCGCCGCCGTCGCGGCTGGACATAACCACGCCCATTGTTTCCGTGGCAAAACCTACGCGGAATACTCGCAAGTCGCAGGAGAGGCGCATTATTATTTCACGAACAGTCTGGTTGAGCGGGTCCATACAATATTGACAATGACCATTGCGTAAATCGTCACCCGTGTATTTCCTGCACGTACCAGTACGCCGCGCTCTCAATCCTCGCTAGACTTACTTTTTAATGAAAGCTCTTGTTTACTTAAATATGTGTCTCAATACATAAATTACAACAAATTTAGCCAGATGGCTTGATTTACATTTGTAACCTTATTAGTAATTACTTTTTTAAAATACACACTAAATATAAATTCGTTATGAATAAATACATCTTTTAGTAACCATGTTGGGTCTTTTACGTTTTAACTTTAGGTAATCTGAAACACTTTTCATACGATAGTTGATTATTCTCCTATTTACGTATCTATTAGTAATGATTTAAATAGGTAGTTGATATTAATAAATATAAACAGCATAATATACCAAAACCGCTTAACCTAATTCTAAATTAATAAATCTTTGGAAAATTTCATTGAGCGCCTATTGAAAACTATGATTTAAGTAACAGTGGATTGTTTCAAGTTTCAATGAATAATACTTTTTGAATAACCTAATTTTTTATTTTATAATTTATAATAATAATAATTTGGCATTGGATGTATCTAGATACTTATTTCTTTTTCGCAGTTATTATATGTGGTGGATCTTTAATATCCGATAGAAACATTCGTCTACTGTACTGTGGATTAATTATCTCTGGCAATAAACATTCTTGATAAAAACTGAAATAAAATCATAGTATAGTTACATGTTGATTATCCTTTTCATCTTAATATTTTATCTTCATTATATAATCTACTATTTATATTTTACACTATTAGGTTACAATTTGTATAGCATAGAATTTAATTTTTAATATAATTTACAGATACTTACAGATCTAATTTTTTTTCCATTTGTAACCAAAAATCATGATCATACATCACGATTTCATGATAAGTCCATTTGTCAGAAAAAACGAAAAAGTGACATGACTTTTTTTTACAAATGTGCATCTGACCCTGAATCTGATAATAATAATTATTATCAGATTTTAATTTTATGTTTTCAGTGTGTTTGTCGTATTTTAAAAACGGCAACTAAAATTTAAAATTGTAAAAAAAAAATCTAAAATACAATACTATTTAATTTCATATTATCATTTTTATAGGTACCTTTTTATCCTTCACAGCATCAATACAACTACAATAATCTTTGGCAGAATAGGGACATTTTATCTCAATTAATGAGTCATCTTCAATTATTAATCCATCTGAAAATATTATAAAACGTATTTAATAAGTATCTACGATTTAATTATTTAAATAAAATACAATTTATTTATTAAAAATTATATTACCAGGCGTGGCGGCAAAATAAGACGTATTTTCATCAATAAAAAGACCACAAGACATTATTTTTTTACCACTAATTTCTTCAAATTTTTTAATTGCTTGAGGTTCCATAGATTTTCCATACTCCGTGGCTTTAGTAGAAAATTGATGGTATAGTAAATTATAAACAAGTTTTTTACATGATGTCTGTGGTCTTCGTTTGCATATGTTACCAAAATTTGATGCTGTGAGACGGTTTCTTCTTTCAGCGTGCCACCGAGAAGAATTGTGTTGTTCTCTTGTTTCTTCCTCTAATATTATTCTACCATTTTCATCAAGAACAAGGGAACTTAAAAATGTCAGTTTTTTTGATTCTATATCATTTTCTGTAAATTCGTCGACGAGAGGTTCAGCTAAACCATAATGCTCGTCTGGACCAAAAGTTAATTTTTTTCCTATTCCTTTTTTTATAGGAAAAAGTGTTCTTCTATTTTTAGAAAGAGCTTTTTTTTTTAATTTGGCTTTCAAAAAATTTTTCCCAACACATCCTATATGAATTAATAGGTATATTATTATTGATTACTCGCTTATTCGTCTTGTACCTACATTACTTATCGGTAAATTATTATTTATTACATTTAAAATTATTTTCGAATATTAATTTATACATTAATTTACTAATAAGGAACAGTCAACATTTGTCGATGGATAGTAATTTACGATAAGTAGAGCGCGTATTTGTATGCATTTGTATATTTATTCTGGTTGATCGTATGATATGCTAAGTGAGCACAAAATGTTTTTTATGACAGGTAAGGATTTAAAAAAATTAAACTTTTTTAATGCATATATTTATGCATATTTAAGATTTTTTAGCGCATATTCGGTTGGTTTTTAATGCATATAAATCCGTGCTCTAACGATAAGAGTACGAAAAACGAGCGTTGATTAATATTTATTATTTATAAGCTATTTTGACATCTGTCAATTACTTTCTGATAAATTTAACAAGACAATAACTTACCTGGACTTATATCATTCACAGCATTTTTATGTAAACATCTCAACAGTTGTCCAGCAGTATTATGTGATATAACAGCAGCTTCCACTCGTGTATTGTATGAATGACGCTGAGAAAAGTTGATACGTTTTCCAGCTAAATGTTTGTTTATAATGCTGTTGAACTGCTCGCATACATTATTGTCTACGTTCATCAAAAGACTATTAGCATTAGTTGTTAATCGTCCGATGATTTGTACAATTTCTTGAACCATGCCAGATTGTTGTGCTTCATTCAATAAATTTTTTTCATTTTCTTTCGCACCTTTACAAAAATATAATTCGCATTGACTATGTTCACCCAAAATGTGTTGAAAACTGTTGTTGATATCTTTACGTAATCCTATATAAAATTAAATAATTTAAAAAATTAAATAAATACAAATAATTTAAAATTACTTTAATTTTACCTATAATACCTACCATTTATCTTTTGACTTGTGGATTGATTTTGCAATTTATTTCTGTAATCAATTGATTTTACAATCGCAAATCTAAAACGCTTCAAATTTTTTTTTATGTGTTTTCTCAAGATTATAGGATATTTGATATTTTTTATAACAGCCATTAATTTTGTTCCGTAATTTCGTAATAAATGATTACGACATTCTATTTTTTCAATTATGAACTTGGGTCCATATGGCATACTTTCCTTTAAACGTTTTGTTACACTAGAATCTCCATCGCCTAAAAATAAAATAAAAATTATACAGTTTAAATATATATTTTGAATGTCTTGGTTCACTTTAAGTTTTATTAACCTATAATTTTATCATATTTTAATCCGTGCATTTCCACACTCCGTTTAAATCCTTCCATTACAGCATCAGCTTCCATGCCTGTCGCAGATTTAGACCAGTTCATAAAACAAACGTGTGTCGGTATTGGCTCTTTTTTATTTAACGATTTTTGACAAATAACGCAGTATCGATTTCTTATACCGATAAACAAAATTTTTTTTGTTCTATATCCTATTATCGTAGCCTGAAATTAAAATGTAAAATGTTAAGTAGATAATAGCTTAAATCGTTAGATTACGTGATTTCGTAAAAAAATAATGTCAGATGCTCATCGATGTAATATATAATGACGCTCAAGAATATAAATCCATTATTATAATGCATAAAATGCAAAATAAAATTGATGTAGGTATAATACTAAGTCTATGAAGCATGAAACAAATGTATTTACTGATAAACTACTCGTTCAATTTTTTTATGCCAAAAACTCGTAAACAATAATTTTTTTTTAGACAATTTATTTAAATTTTTTTATATTATTATTTATATTTATAATAATATTAAATTTAAAAACAGAATTTTAATATTACAAAGTTCGTTAATCACATTTATGATTAAACAGAACTTTATGTTACACCCCCCGTGTATAGCTCTATATTTCTATAATATTATACTTACTGCACCAGATAAAGCGTCATATTTTGTTTTATAGCTTCTTTTTCCCCATTGCCCATCTGCTACAACTGTGCACATAGGAATACCATCACTGTCAATATCTCCATTTTCTATAGCTAATTTTCGTTCTTCTTCGCCAGCAATCTTCATAACGTTCTCAGCTATTTCGTGAATCTTTTTTCCAATAATATCATGATTTCTTATAAACGTGTTACTAGTCATGCTTGGAATGTCCATTGTAGCACAAATTTCTTCTAGCTGGGAATGGCCGATGCCTATAGAAATTGAACCACTCACAGCAGCTTCATTGATTGGCATGTATGATTTTGGTCTTTCTTCTTCAGACTCAATAATACGCACTATCTTACACATTTTACACGAAAACGTAAAATTTGATCGTAACCCAAATCGTCTTTCGTATAAGAGTTCCATGTCCATGAAAGTACAACCACAACCACCTTCATGTACGCATTTCTTAATTTGATCAAATATATAAAAAATATCGACTATCCTTCGGCCGTAATTATTTGACTCACTGCATAACTCAGGTAATATGTTAGGTGATTCATCAACATTTCTATATACATTAATATTTAAGAATTAAATTATTTATTAGCATATTTTACTGAAAAAATATTATTTATTTTAAATTTAAAGCAGTTAAATTACCCTTCATTATGAGTCAAAACTTCTACCGGTGAAAACAAATTGGCTTGATTATTTATTGAAGAAATATCACAACTAAGACTTTAAAAATATGCATTATATTCATAGTGTACCTACTAAATTTTTGATAACTAAAAAATATTTAATAAAATCTTACTTTTCAGAAAATGATGATGTTGCAGGAGTCGAATAATTTGCTCCTAACGTAAGGCAGGTGGATTGATCAATCATATTATCAGATGTATTAACAGAACTAATCTGAGTATTACTAATATTGTAGTCACCATCCCTTATTAAAAAAGCAAGATATAACAAAACATATTAAAAAAAAATATTTTTTACTATTTCTGTTTTATTAATTATACCTAGTCTATTACGACTCGTCAAAACTTTAAATACTTATAAGTAGATATAGGATGTTGATGACCACACAAAAATGCCCTAATACTCAAAAAAATCTGCTTAAATTGTATAGTAGAGTCGAGTGAATCTCGTCTTAGAGTAGGTCACTGTGATGAATGTGTTAAATTTAAATTCTATGATAAATCATTGACTGATTCTGAAACGATTCTGAACACAGACATTTGTCAGCCTAAAATATTTTATTTTACGTCTTTTAGTGTTGGTAACTATGTTTTTTGACGGGTTTTATAAAAATCCTAAGTTCAAATGTACCTATATAAAAAAAAGCGGGTAATTGGGTATCGCTCTGCTGTACATTAGGTGCCGTATGGATCACTATTATATATTATAAAAGTGTTAAATTTCGTAAAAATCTAAAATTGAAACGCTCATTACATTTTTCCTATAATGACGCTTCGAGTTTTCTCTATAGCTACTTGAAGGAAAACTTATGGAAAACTTAGTGTTGAATTTTTTATCCTTAGATATAAACACAAAAAATGTTATGATTTTTCAACTTCAAAATTACTTGCAAATTTTGGCGATTTTGACATATTTCGTAAAAATGTTAACTATTAACGCTTATAAAAAAAAATTGTGTCTAACGATTTTCGATTTTTTTTAACTACAATAAGAACCACTCATAAGGAACCTTGTATTAAATTTTCAAGTTTTTTTGGCCTTCCAAAATTTTGTTATCGACATTTCAAAAAAAAAATTCTCAGAAAAATCGAAAATTTCAGTGGTCTATAAGTAGCTCAAAAAAATTCGAAATATTTCAAAAAGTTAACAGTATGTAGATAACACTAATATAAACATTTGGTGAAAATTTCAAGTATTTACAGTGATTATTTTTTGAGTTACAACCATATAAGAAAATCGATTTGGTCGAAAAGTGGTTTTGCGTAAAAATTCCCGTTTTTCCTTTACTTTTTTTTGTTTTTCTCTATTTTTTTGAAAACTGTTGGAAAATTTTTAATTTTTACCTCTATAATGCACCAAGGATATTCACTTTGTCATCGGAAACCACCCCCGAAGTTTGAAATTGAAGCATTATTTCGACTAGTTATGCTGTACACAGACACAAAAAAACACACAAAAAAAAACACAAATCATTGTAAAAAAAAGGTGGGCAAGTGGGTGTCGCTCTGCTGTACAGTAGGTTACAAGTGGGTCACTGTATAATGGATGGTATTAAATTTGAATTCAACGATATAATATCATTGTATAAGAAAAACGATTCTGAGCGGTGATGGTATGTCAGTCTATGTATAAGGCATATTATATACATATCTATGGTATTAAACAAAAAATTGACCTATAATAGGTACCTATAATAAATTCCAAATTAATCATATCACAATATCCATTAGATACTTATAACGCGTTATACATCAACAAAAACCGTGATACTATCATAGATATATAATAGTACACTTTAGAAGTTTCAAGTACCCACGAATAATATTATTCAATCACAACAAAATAACTAAAATCGTAATTCTTGGTTTAAATATGAAATTTTGTCTAAATTTGAAATTAAAATGTCTGTAAAAAATAAGTGTGTTTATATATTTTTTAGATTTTTTGGTTACACTATGAATTATTTAAGAGAACCTTTGTTTTAAATTTTCAACTCTTAGTTATAAAAACTGAACATTTTATAATTTTTTAATTCCAACGATTGATAATTTTCGAGATTTTGATAAATTTTGTCAAAATTCCAACTTTAAATGCTTATAAAAAAAAACTGTGCCTATGTATTTTTAATATTTTTCAACTGCTATTGTAACAATATATCAGGAGCCTTGTATTAAATTTTTACACTTTTTGGCCCAACAGATAAAACTGTATTGATATTTATAGAAAAAAAAACTAAAAAAAATTGAAAGCTGTAAATGTCCATAAACATCTCAAAAAGAGTCAAAATATTTTCAAAATTGTATGGTGTATAGAAAATGCTAATTTAAACATTCAGTGAAATTTTCATGTATCTACAGTTGTTCGTTTTTGAATTGTAACAAAATAAGGAAATCGCTACATGAGTAATCGAGTGAAAATCCAATGTTGTAAAAATTTGAATTTCAAACGCTCATAAAAATTTAATTTGACTGTCCGGTAGAGATTTTTTTATTGATAAAGGTAGATAATTTTATAAGGAATCTTGTGTTTCATTTGTTTTAGAGTTACACCAATAACCAAAATCGATTTTTTGGAAAACCAATTTTGTGTAAAAATTCCCGTTTTTCCTTAATTTTTATGTTGTTTTTCCCGGCGCTGGTGAAAACTACTGGGAAATTTATACTTTTGACCCCCCAAAGTACCAACTAGATTCACTTTCCTACCAGAAAAGCTACTGATGAAGAAAATCCAAGCACTTTTACTGTCCTAAAACGTGATGACAGACACAAAAATATAAAAATATAAATAAAAATATAAATAAAAACATACATCATTGTAAAACCAATACATTCATCGCTCCGCTCAGAATCTAAAATACGTCAAAATGTTGACAAAAAAACAAAAAATGCAAATAATATGGTAGCTAAAAATGCCTAAAACTGCGAAAAAGTGCAATAGTTATCAATATCCTATTACTTATAAGTATGTATATTATGTTGTTATTTAAAAAATTAAAAACTTAAAAATAATAAGTTTAGGAATGAAAAAATAGTTTTTTTTATACATACTTATACAATTCAATAATTATTGTTAGAGTACAGACTAAAACTATAAACAGTTAAATTGTACTTACCTTTCATTTTTACTACAGTAATGACGAATGTGTGAAATATTTTTCATTTTTTTATTTGTACATCGTTTTTTTTGTATTTTATTTTTCTTATTTCCCATAGTGTTTTATAAAAATATATAAATAAAATATATAATATATAAAATAAAAACTAAAAAAATAAGTTGATATATAACTAAAAAGCTTGTAAAAACGGAATACGCACAATGCACAAACTAATATTTTGAGTTTGCAATGAGTATAAAAACAATAATTTTACCCTCCCAAATATCGTATTCATAAACTCATATCTAACAGCGATAATAGTAATAACACTAATAACCATTTATATTATAATATAATATGATTATTATCGTATTTATGATTTTCGTCAATTATCGAAAATAATACGGAGAAATTTGTCTCGTTGCATGTTTGCTATTTTAAGTTTTATTTTAATTGCAGCGCGACTAGGTTGCGTTGTAGAGTGGGGGGACTGCCGCCACCCAAACGAACGTTGGAATTCATAGTACCGCTAGGAGCAGCACTAGACGGGAAAAATTTCACACGTAAAACATGCTTACTTAGATTGAAAATAAATCGATCCAGAATGGTTTTAGGGAAAAAATTCAAATAATCAAAATTAAAGAAAATAATATTTTAGAGGGCATCTCGGAAGAATTTTCTTCATTATTTAAATTATAACGCTCAAACAACAGTTTAAAGTAGTACATTATTTCAACAATTTCAATTAACTCTAACTTTAAGAAAAAAAAACTTTTTTGAAAAATTGCTCCGAGGTGCCCTCGGTAATGTTATTTTCTTTAACTTTGTTCCTGGGTGTTTAGCTGTAAAATAATCATGTAGTAAGTTATTTCTTATCAAAATGGTCATGTTTTGGATACGAAAAAAGGGTGGTATTGCGTCCTCTTAACAAGAAAACCATACAAATAACTCATTTTTCCAATTTTTGCACTTACAGAATGTGTGCTAACACCTAACCTTTATACATTGACAAATTAATGATGTCTCAATGATCTCAATCACGGTCTTAGAATAATATAGGCTTTAGGTAGGTACTCAATGTTATTAAAAACATTTTCGGAACAAAAGACTGTTGGAACAAATAGTTTATGGAACTACAGATATTGTCCCATTTACTTATCACCCACGCTTTACAGACTTATAGATAATATAAGATCTTATATTGTCCATGTCCAGACTCTCCGGAGCATGGATTAATTTTGCTATAATATATTTCATAGAATATAGATAGTATTTTTAAATAAATATTTTCAATTTTGCAAAAAACTAATTATTATTTATTTATTAATTTAATAATATTTTGTAGGAATTAAATATTTTATTATTTTAGAATTTGATACAATTTTACACACAATATCATTGTAGTTTGTTACATGATATTTAATTGAAATTACAGTTATTCAGCTTACCATCTATGTACAAAAATATGTGTTTGCCTATTGTGTAAAGTCAGTTAATATTTAAAGCCGACTACCAAGTCTATTATCAAGAGGATTATTTAGTAGCGGTATAGGTATCTAGTTTTGAAAGTATAGTCCTTTAAAATGTTAAATAATTACAGGTATGTTGCATTATTTCTTTCAAGTTATGATACTTGTTCTGTTACCCTATTCAGAATAAGCTTGCCCACTTTCGTGCTTTCAACTGAGCCAATAGAAGGGTCTGACCCCTCTGACGAAAGTCAGATGCACTGTGAGGGGTCGGCAGTGGTCAACCGCTGATGTTACCCGTCAGACCTTTCCAGCGACTCAATTGAAGGCGTAAATGTGGGCAAGCTTATTCTGAATAGAGTATAGCAATGTTAATACCTATTAGTTAAGAAACTGTATAATATTTTATGGTCTTTATGTCATTATTAGGACTGCATTCTTAAGAAAATCTAATGAGACTATTCAATTATTTCGACTATCATCTAGTACTTTGGAAAAATCTTCAAGCAATGGAACTAAAATTGATATACCTAAATATATAAATCGAAGTTCGACTGACATACTAAAAGTAAATATTATTCATTTTGTATGACATTGTGTAACTTGGGAATTGGGTATTTAAAGTACCCAAGTACCTACCTAAATATCCAAGTACTGAATGAAAAATAAAAATAATTAATTACTTGATAAAAAAATTTATAATTGGTAATTAATTAGGCAATATCGAGTACTATTCAACGCGATCCAACTGCAGCTCACTTTAAATACCACGATGACCCATATCTAATTCCAGTTTCAAATTTTCAAAAAAGAGCTTATGCCTTAAGTCAAGAATCTGGTAGAAAAGCAGCACATTGGATTCTCAATCAACATCCTGAATTGTTTAATCATAAAGTAGCATTTCCACCTATTGAGGTACAATTAATTAATAATTAATATATTTTTTTTTTTTATAATATAAATCAGCAATTTTATGTTAGCTTAGGTTTTTTAAGTCATAAGGAATCATTTAAGCTTTATATTGATACAACTCTATTTAGTATTTACCATCATTTATCATATTATTTTTAGAATTTTTCAGAAGACAACTTTAATTTTGTATTCTAAAGTAAAATATGTTTATATTTAAATATTGAATATTGAAGCACAGTAATTATTAATACTCATAGCAATATTTTAAAATAATATTGTGTTATAGAATATTAAGGTAAAATGTTATAATTTAAAACAAAAAAAGAGTAAACAATTTCAAAAAGGTTATGTGTACAAATACTTAAATTATTATTCTGTAATAAAAACAAAAAGAACTGAAATTAAATTTACTTTTATACTTCATATATTGATCAATATTTAAAAAAAATACATAATTGCACAAGAAAAATTATATAATTATACAATTAAAATATTAAAATTATTTTACTGTTATTTACTTTAGAAATTTTGCCCTAAAGTTGTATATGATGAAAGTTATGACTTAGATGAGAATGAATTAAAAACAATAATCGAAAAAGGTATTGTGTCAGATGCTATAGCTGTATATAACCTGTTAAAGAAAAAAGACATAGGTACATTTTTAAATATTATTCTCATATATTTTTATTTTATAATAAAATATTTTTGTTTTTATTTCAATAATCATTAGAAATAAGTTCAGATACACAACAATCACTTTTGGAGTTGGTATGTTTTTACAATAATCAAGATGATCTAGAAGAAGACTGGATTGAAGAACGTTGGTATACTCAAGCTAATAAAAACCGAGAAGAATATAGAAATACTTGGAAGTATGTATTTACATAATATATACAAACATATTATAGTACATTATTCTAGCATATTATATACATATTTTGTTAAAAAAAATAATTATAGATCTAATGGATTTGCAATGACTCTTTTTTCAACTATTAAATCTCCTAATTCTCATCATTATTCAATAATCATACAAGGGATGGCAAAATATAATCAGGTTAGATAAATACATTTTCTTATTTTTATAGTTTTAGAATTTTAGTAGTAATGTTATAATTATTTATAATGTTTATAACATAAAACATTTTAATTATTGTGTATTTTATTTATATTTAGTTTGAAGAAGCATACAATTTATACAAAGAAGCCAATGAAAAAGGATTTATTTTATCTATCAATGCATATAATTCAGCTATAAAAACCGCTATTTATGTCAAAGAAGGAGCAGATCATAAGTGGCTCCATATACAAGTAAATATATTATTTTTCTTATGCTTGTAAATTATATTTACATCTATATCATATAAAACTTTGGCTATTTTATCAAAAAAAGTTTAGTTTTAGGTATTTATTACTTTAACAGCTCATATGTTATTACATTTGCATGTTCTATTTTTTAAACCTTTAATTTGTAGTTATATTACTACTATAATAATTATGACAATCATACACGTATATATTTATGCTTTTATTTAATAGAATATACAATTTTTTTTCCAGGAAATATTAACTCAAATGCATGATTCAGGTGTACCTATGAATTTATGGACTTTAAATTCAATTCTTAATGTCTTAACTACTATGACAACAAATTCTGAATCAAAAAAATATGCATTAAAAACAATTGCTGAAGCTAAACAATTTGATATTGAACCATGTTTAGCATCATACTATTATTTATTACAGATATTTTGCTCAGACAGTATGTTAAAAATGTTGAACATTATTTTAATTAGATAATTTATTGTAAACAATTTTGTTTCAGGAAAAAACAAAAGTACTATACTAGTTGATATTTTAAATCTTATCGAAGAAAAACCATTAAGTATTAAAGACTTGGCGGACACAAATTTTTTTATGGCTGCTATGGAAAATTGTCGGTACCATTTACAAAATGTTGATGTTGCACTTAGAGTTCATTCTGTTTTACTGAAGGCAAAAAATTATAATTTAATTGGAGATTCATATAGAGAATCAGTTTATTAGTAAATATATATTTATTTTTTTTTAGAAAATGCCTTCTTAAGTAATTAGTAGGGTTCGAATGAAAATTTGGTAAGCAAATGCCTTAAAAAAAAATATTTAGAATCATATTGTATTTTCTTGCCATTTTTCTCTTTTTTTAATAATTAATGTTAAGTTTTAAATTTATCACATTTGTATTTGTACAGTTGTAGATAAACTGGTTGCACAATTCTATGAAATAAATTGACCTTCTCATAATTGGATTAACATAAGTATGAAGAACTACTGAGCGCTCATTATGTGATATTTTTGAAACATTAACTTAAGCAACCATAGTCTGTACAACAATTTGCCACTAGGGTTCACCACAATCTAGTTCTACGGGGAGCCTTATTACATTGTTCTATGCCTTATCCCAAAACATATTGAATGGTTCATGTGTTATAAGAAATTTAATATAGTAGTTGTGTAACTAGTATATCTTTAATTGTGATTCACAGTAAAACCAGTAAAAAGTGGTTAATAACCATTGATGATATGTTCAAAATAATATATTAGAAAAAAAACCACAATCCACTTTTGTAATAACTTCCGTGTTAAATGGTCATATTTTACAATGTACATGAATATTAGTATTATTGGAATATTAAGTCCAAACTGTTATGTTTTTCTGAAGACGGTTTGTTAAAATATATTGTTATAAATTTATTTTTAGTTGCACAATAATGAATTGGTGGTAACATGCTTTTTATTTATATTGCTTAAAATTCGAACTCTAATAATTAATATAATATAAGATGTTTGATAATAATTTACTTATCTATCTACATATATTTTTAGTCGGCATTTTTTTGCAATATTATGTCAAAATGAATCTGTTGAATTTTTAATGAAATATTACTATGATTTGGTCCCACACATATACATACCTGAACCGGCAATCACTGAGGTAACACTTTAATACATATATTATAGTTTGTATCATGCTATCATTATTTTAAACTCGCAATGTAATTTTCGGATCATACATATAGAAATAAAATATTATAAACTAAATGAAACATTTTTTAAATAATTTATCATAATATATTCCGTTTCATATAAGAGGAATCTTGGGCGGCAACAGATTTTTGTCCATTTCAATCAGTCTAGACCTCAATAAATCAGCTTTCATTTACAATTATTGGCTATACTCTGCAAGTTAAGAAGCACAGTTGGTGGTCGATTTGTGCAAAGTGATGTGGCAATACTACACGGCAGGTGTACAAATAGTTGTCACAGAGGCGGGATTGCTACACGACAAAAATTTGTTGCCATCCACTACAATTTTTAACTTGGACATAGTTTATTTGGTTGTTGGAATAATAAAGTGACGTTCGTGAGAATACCGCACTAGCCATACCATAGCTGCCATCCAAGATTAATTTAATATTAGTCAGAATATATTATGATACATTTTAATGCTTTTAAAATATTACATTTTTTGTTGCAGTTGATTGTAAAAACTTTAAATGTTGCTGCTGCAGTTGAACTATACCCAAAAATTTGGTCAGATATTTTAATGTTTGATCAAGCAGATAGAGAACCTATTATAATAGAGTTGATTAACGGTATGGCTCAAAATTTGTTCCCGAGTTTTGAACAATCTATTAAAGAAAAATTAAGTTTATTATCTGGTACAATTTATGATGCTATTGAAGAACGAAAAGAAACTGGTAAAATAAAAATGCCGTAAGTATAACAGACTTAACTATAAGTAACATGAGTTCTAGAATTACTGAACCTTTTGAAACTGTTAATTGTATTTTTTAACAAATTTTTAGATATTATTTTTAATACATTAAAAGTAAAATAAAAGAGCTATTAGTTATTTAACTATATTATAATCTAAATATTATGAAAAATGAATGTTTGTCTTATTGTGTGCTGTTACCTGTTTCTCTATCCCCAAAAGATTCAGAAGCTACTGGACCGTTTTCAATACCTAATAGTTATATCAATTCCCTATATTCTATTCCAAATAAGATCAGGTTTCCGCGGCGACCAAATCAGACGCCCACAGGCATCAGGCGCTGCTACAGGAATAAAGCCGCGCCTATGCCCACAACTCGGCCGCCGAAGCCTGATCTTATTTGGAATAGAGTATAGAGAATTATGGACAATTTATACATTTTTCAACCCCTATAGGATTACACAAAAATTTAATTTTGGTTCAAGCCAATAAAATTTTTTTTTTCTTAATTAATTAGTTGCCATTGGTTACAGAAAATAAAATAGTTATTATGATTGCATATAATTTTCTATATAATATAGATTGATAGAAAAATTTAATTTATAATAGATAGTCGGCTATAATATAGATATTATTAGTCGGGTTACCTATATCTAAATCACAGATTTTGACTTAATTTTTAGTGTTTTAGAATAGAAGCCACGGGTAACAACTACTATATTATTTAATAGGAATAGCAAGAAGAGATATAATAGATTGAACCCATTACTTTAAAGTGGCTTACCTGCTATTAATAATATTAAAACCATAACTACATAATATTACTTTTTTTTATTGTAATTCACTTCAGAAAAAATTTTATTTATTACTATGTCGGTTTAATTTATCCCCGAGCATGCAGCTAGTTTAAAATATATATTTTAAAATTTAAAAAAATACTTGTCTTTATTTTTTTATAATACTTATTTCTTTGAATGATTACTTAGAATTATTTATTAGTTTATAGTTTTGACTTTTGGTAAAATGCATAAGAGAAACAGTTAAAGAAGATGTTTGTGCATCAAGCAACTTATATTTTATTATTGTAAGGAAAATATAAATAAGTAGTTGAAATTACTAAATTTAAATTAATTTAATTTATTATGCATATAAAGATATTTAATTTATTCTTTCTAAAATAATTCTTCTTAAAAAAAAACAATTGTATATATTCTTAAATTAACTATACCTTATTTATTTTAGATGGACCGGTACAATGTTGGGAAATTTGATTAACATCTGTTTGTTTGGAGATAATATTAATAAGGCTACTGAAATTATTGTAAAACTGCATAAAAATCAAAACGAAATCATTGGAATTCCAGATAGTCTTACAATTGCTACATTTTTAGACTATTGCATTGAAAACAACTATTTCAATGAATTATTAGTAAGTAAAATGTGAAGAAAATAGTTAAGTGTTGGTGTTAGTTCAGATATAGTTTTAATATCAATAGAGCTGTAGAATACAAGAACAAAAACCTAACCTAACCTATGGACACAAATTATATCATATCATTCTCATTTTGAAACGTGATTATTTAACCAATTTATTTCAAAATTTTGCATTTATACACCATATTAAATTGTATTCTAGGGCGGCTCCACATAGTTTTTGTTTATTACTTCAAATTAAATGCTTAGTATATTATTATTTTAATATTTTTAAATCACTAACAATTTTGAAAAAAGCCATGTGGTTTATTTTAAAATATTATTTTCTTACATTTTGATAATAGGTGTTTCTTTTCTAACCTATTATTTTAGGTTTTCTTTAACAATTAGGCAAATAAAAATATATACATTAGAAAAACGTGATCATTAAAATATTATACAAAATAAATTGTTTAAATTAGTGCTGAGCAACTATAGACTAATCCGTCAATATGGTTTAATATGATAGTTCAATCTGGATTTCCTGATTAAATCTAGGTATTGAATCCAAATTCATATTTCGGTTTGACATGTACTTGGCATACAATGTTTATTTTTTATTTTAAATGTCATGTTTAATTTAAATAACTATTTTTCAAACCACTATTGTAAGACTTATAAGTGGTACAACAATCATAAACCTTGTTTTACTAACTAAAATTAAATGGCAATTTCTAACCAAAACTGAAAAAAAAAATTTTCCTTAGTTTTAACTTAATTACAGCGATTACTAAAATGATCTTGTTATATTTATTTAATATTGCTTATAAGCTATGTAGCTACGATATTATATTTTATGATATACAATCATCAATTACAATTTGAAGTTATAATATTTTTAATTATTATTTTGTATTTACTTTAGAAATGCATTGAATACTCTTTAGAAGTCAACTATCTTGAACTAGATGATTTCATTTCAAAAATTATGACAAAAATGACTTTGTCGCCAATGCAGCGTGCACATTTATCAAAATTGGTCGGAACTGAACATTATGTTGAAATTGAAAATAAAATTGAAAATGTTAGTAGTTAGGTTTGTTTTTATTTTAAAATTAAACTTTAGTTATATATTAAATACTATGATTTTTTACTTCTATATTATTTGATGTTTCTGTTGAATATACTTTGTACTAAAAAATAGTATCATAATATGTTAGATCCTTTATTTTAACAATAGTTGTAATATATTTATTTATACATTTTACTAAGTTTGTTTTAAACATTAAACATTAGTTCCTTATTAGTTTTTTCAATATATATTAATTTTAATAGTTATGCAAAAACTACAGATAAAAATCTGCCGTCACATAAACTTATTCAATTTATCAACAAAATATTTACAACAAATTAATCATACATACATACATACATACACATTACAAATCTATGTGAAATATATTTTCTACAATAAAATGTATACAATATGAAAAGTTTGTATGCTATGGTTTGAATAAAACAAATTATAATTATAAATTATAAACATTAATCATGAATATTTATATTTGATAATAGTTTTAAAAACACAAAACTTTACTTACAAGTTCATTTTTTATAAAAAAAAAAAAAACCTTTTTATATATTATAACAATTTAAATTTAATGGAATAATAAAAAAATACACTTATAATTACAACATAAGCTACTCAATATTTTTAACGTCAATAGATTTTGATGGTTGTGATTCAATTTTAGAATTGTTACTTTCATCTGAAGTAGTATCTGTTTGAGTAGTATATGGAGTTACTCGGGTGGGCGCAGCCATACCTTCATCAATAAGTTTCTGTCTTTCTCGTAACATTGAAGCTTTCATATTACTCATTTGATGATAATAACAAAGTTTACACATAGTGCAAACTGTCAAACCAACCCAGCAAGACCATGAAGCCCATATTCCAAACTATAAAATTAAGAATTTAGGTAACAAAATACTCTATTCAATATTTTTGGGCCAGTTGATACTTTATGTTAGACATACATGTCTAGTATCTAAAATACCTAACTCAGCATTGCCAAGCGGCAAGCCTCAATATACTACAGGTATACTGCAGTATACTACAGTTAATTCATCATATTATTGTTTTTCACTTGATTGATAAGTAAATGCATGTTACAAAAAAATTTTATAAAATACCTGAGCTACTCCAAGTTGAAAGTAAAAACCAGATGTATCAATTCCATCTTGAATATCAATAGGATTTCCAGCAGCCATTTCACACCTTTAAATTTATTTGTTAATAAGATTTTTATTGATGTATATTATATAATAAATAATTATTTATTAGGTATAAAATAAATAAATTCAAATAAATAACATATTGCCATTAAACTAAAAATTAATTAATTCAATAAACTACCTGAGAAAATTGTCTGTAATTTTTTTTTACATTTTCGGACATAAATAATATAGGGTACTGGTTTAGTAACTTTGCAAACAAAAGCCCCAGAAAAATGAATCCTCCTGCCACGGGTGTTTTGTGGGTTTCATACTTATATATATTTTCGATATTTTACGTTGCAGTATCATAAATAATAGAAACTATGTGCCTAATAATAGTGATATACATACATATTATATATTTATATACCAACGTTTATACAATAGTTACAACCCATTATGGTAATTTTATAGTCTGTAGATAACAATGAAAATTGTGTTAATTAAAAATATATCATTAATCTAATTTAGTTAAATAAATAAAATATTACCTATATAAGTTTTTTTTTTTTTAAGCGATATTATATTTTCTTACCTATATACCTATGTATATTAGTGTTTTTTTGTATTATGCACTTTATTCTTTTGCATATAAAAGCATATTTTTATTCAAGTGAATATGTAATATGGCTTCTAGTATTTATTAATAATTATTTTACTTGAACCATTTTTAGAAATTATAAATATTGATGGATTAATATAAATCACTAAGATTATCAAATTTTCATAGATCCCATGTATTCCAAACCCATTATCCTTAGTAACTAAGTTAAATAACTCACTAACTATTCTTTCAAATTTTAATTTTGATACGCCAACATTTTCAGAAAAATTATACAGTAAATTATTTAGTACTAAAGGGGTACTTGTCATTTGAAAAACAGAAGCTTGTTATTCCACAAGACATTCCTTAAGTAATATGAAGATTTGGAAACGTGGTCTTTAATTAATATAATATTTAAAAATTTAAAATACAAATTTAAAAAATGTATACAGGGTGTTGTACGATAAATGTGTCAAACTTCTATAGGTGTTAATAAACCTCAAATGGAACAAAAAAAATCCTTGTGACCATAATCAAATTATCAATAATAAGGGTGATAATTTCCATGTTTGTGTTTCTTTGTTAAATGCAAATTTGATTCATAATAATGTTCAAATCTGCTAAACCGTAGGTACTACAATTAATTTAAATACATTGATGAAAAGCTCATGAAATTGGGATTAGGAAAACATATTTTACAAGGTTCCCACCTGATTTTTTGGGTAAAAAGAATAACACATTTTTTTAACCTTAAAATTTCGACATTTAAAAAAAATTGGTTTATCAGGTTTTGTATTTATTGCTTAGAATTTGTTTACGTTTTTTCCACACATTAGGTGGAATAGCGGCCCTTCAGAAAAGTTTAACGAAAAAATCGAGTACACTGTTGAAAAGATTATAACATTTTGAAGTTTTTTGAAATTTGAACCCACCTGCTTTAAAAAAAAATTGTTGTAGGATAAAACTGATTTTTTTTTAAATTTCAACATTTTAAAGTTATAAAAAATGTGTTATTCTTTTTACCCAAAAAATCAGGTGGGAACCTTGTAAAATATGTTTTCCTAATCCCAATTTCATGAGCTTTTCATCAATGTATTTAAATTAATTGTAGTACCTACGGTTTGGCAGATTTGAACATTATTATGAATCAAATTTGCATTTAACAAAAAAACACAAACATGGAAATTATCACCCTTATTATTGATAATTTGATTATGGTCACAAGGATTTTTTTTGTTCCATTTGAGGTTTATTAACACCTATAGAAGTTTGACACATTTATCGTACAACACCCTGTATACATTTTTTAAATTTGTATTTATATTTATTTATTTATTCATATTGAATTTTTCTGTAGATAAGGGTCCGTAAGAAAAGTGCTTGAGGTCCGTATCCGGACCGCATTCTGCCAGTTGGTGACCCCTGGTATATAATATATAATAAGTTATAAAAATTGTAAAACAGGGAGGTGGGGATAGTAATACAATATATCAATCACTGTAAGAATGATTGTTTTATGTTTATAAATCATAACTTGCAAGACTTGTCAACATTATAATTTATAAATATTAGATTGGTTTATATATTAATAATATAAAAATAACTTACGATGGAAATCTTTCAATCATGTCATTACACCAAGTCATAAATCCAAATGTTATCATCAGAGCCGCATTGATTGTAAAAATACACATAAGTACACATGTAATGGCATCAATAAATGTCAATAGAAATGAACTGAAAAGAAGATACATTACTAAGCAAATAACTATTTAGTATATTATTTAAATTAATGATTTTGTACATTAGGTGTACTTTACAAACCACTTTATTTTTATCTTTTATTGAACAATGTATTTCAATTAAAGAAGCAAAAATTAACAACTACATTGTATTTCACTATTGTTTTCAAAGTAAATAAACAAATTGATTTAAAACAATAAAACAATAAGATCTAATAGTGAAACATTTGTAATAGTTAAATTCATGTACATTCAAATAGAAAATAATACTCGGAACTTTTCTACTTTACGGGAAGGCCTTTTTTAGATCTTTATTTTTTTTTTTTGGGGGGGGGAATGCCAGTGATGCTCGCTGCACTGAGCTCATACAAAAAAATCAAAAATATGCCTCGACTTGCTATGCAATACCACCTTAAGTTTGTCACAGGGTAACCTCCGTATATCCACTCTTACCATTTTCCCTACTCTATATATACTAACTTTAAGGTGTCATAACTTCGAAACCATGTCCGAGTGCCAAATTCTGACTTCACCTTCGTTTTCAGTGTACTTAACTACATCAGTTTCCTAAAGAAAAATTGCAAAAAAAGGTGTCCCGTAAAGTAGGAATATCCCTAATACTCAATTAACTTTTTGTAAGTAAAATATTGAATTTGAATTTTATATTATAACTTAATATTAAAATATTATAATAACAAACAAACAAATAATATAAAACAATACCTAGAAAAATCTACGGATTACAAACCTGTCAGTTCCTTTATAAGCAAAAATTGACATCCTATAGGTCTGTATTGATGATATTACTAACAGCAAAACTCCAACAAAAATTGAATAGTTACAATAAGCTTGAGATGCCCAATTTACTAAAAATTGACCATTCTTCTCAAGCCATTGACCAGAAGAGAATAAAAGACAATGTCCTCTGTAATGTTAAAAATTTATAATGTTAATGACTTAAATAATAAGTACCTTCATAGGCTTTGAATGAATTACTTAAATTCATCTTGATGAAGACTCATTGGTATAATGATGCATAGGGAAAGAATTGCTGCTATAGTATAACCAGCTACTTGACTCAATAATAATTTATTTGTGAGCGCCATTGATTTTTAATTGTAACTATCCAAACGAAAACAAACATGGGTAACTACATGCATTGAGTAATGAGAAGGTTAAAAATAAAGTATATCATTAAATTAAAATTATATTCCTTGTTTTGGTCAAATTAAAAGTTAAATTTGTTTTTTCTTTATTAACAAACAATGGATATTGAAGAATTTCAGGACTTAGCACTCAGGTAAAAGTAAAAACGACTCATTTACAATAGGTAGTCACTATTTTACTTTATAGTAATATGATGTTGTTCAAAGAACAATGTTCTTAAAATATTATTGCTATTATCCATACTTTATCTCTTATCATCTGTTTTCTATAGCAGCCATAGAGTAATAAAACTATAGCAGCTATCGCCTATCATCTCGAAGACTAGAATAAGGACACCAAACTACGGTTACTGTTCTATGGTTAAAGATATACCTTTATCGTGGGACAAAGTACTCGTACGGGCGTACGATCCATGAAAATAGTTGCCCGATTAACTGGCCACAGACTGCGCTGCGATCGCTAGGGTTGCTACTTTAACTCGCTTATATTATACATGACGTATAATGTATAAATTATTATGTGTAATGTGTATATTTCATAAATATATTTTTATTATGTGTATATTTCATAAATATATTTTTATTATTGTGTAAATAATTTAATTAACCTATACAATTCGTTTACACAATAGTTATATTCTTCTATCTTGTTATTTTATACCTATATATATAATATATCTGTTGACTGTGGACTGTGGTGTGTCTTCACACTTTCACAGGACGATTTAAGATAGTTGTAATGAGACAGAATTGCTGATGTTATTTTTCGTTGTATAACGTTTACAAAAACTACTACTCGTGCGCTGTGTAGTAGAGAAACCAGGAAATAGCCGACCACCGCCGCCGGACACCGGTGCGCAACCCGTCGACAACAACAGAACTAATTGTCGTGAGTACGCCGAAGCAAGAGCCTCATATCGACAACAGATAGCGCGCCCCGGAGCAATATTCACGAACAGACATTTCATTATACTAATTAACAGTTTCATGTTAATTAGTTAATGAAACTAATACTACCAGAAGAAAGGGCGACATCTAAAGTAGAGACTACGCCACTCACATGATGAATCTACATCGCTAAGTTTAACAAACACATCAAAAAGTAACTATGACCGACCGGAGTTCATATTTGCTGCGACCACAATAACAGCCAGCAAATATACCCCGGGAGCAGTCCCGAAATCAACGTTCCCTCGCTGCTGAGCTCGGATATGGTGTATACCAGGTCAAACGAGCCAGTACGCCGCTATCGACACCGTCGTCGCCGTAATTAAACGTCGCCGCCGCCGTTGTTCGCTTTTAGTCTCCTATTGAGCTTGGACATGGATAAAACCAGGTCAGACTGAGCCAATACGAGATTTTACCGTCGTCGCCGTAATTAAACGTCGCCGCCGTCGTTGTTCTTTTTGTCTCCTATTGAGCTTGGACATGGATAAAACCAGGTCAGACTGAGCCAATACTAGATTTTACCGTCGTCGCCGTAATTTAACCGTCGCCGTCGTCACAGTTTGTTTTTTTTGTCTCCTATTGAGCTTGGACATGGATAAAACCAGGTCAGACTGAGCCAATACGAGATTTTACTGCCGCCGCCGTATTGAAACGCTGCCACCGTAATTAATGTTATTACATCGTGATCGAGCCGTCGCCGCCGACCGAGTAATAATATTCATGGACTTATTGTGAATAACGAGCCACACGCCGTTATCCAATATTGTCATTTTACCGCCGCCGCCGTATTTAGACGCCGCCGCCGTAATTCGTAATATTGTTCTTCGTAATATATCGTGTTGTCGTACCTACCCGCCGACCGAATATTATTGGTAAAGTTGTTGTGAATAACGAGTTACACGCCGTTATTCATTTTTAATCGTCGTCGCCGCCGCCGTAATTCTTATTATAACACGTAAATCGTCGTAAACACGCACTCACACATACGCACCACAGTGCAAATTGTATAGTGTACACGCCGCACGCATCATTGTACCTACTCGTCGCTGGTCAGGACGTGTTGTTGTACCTATCCGCCAACCAGCCATATCAATCAACAACCCAGGGAAGCATCTCGTAAACAATTAGTTCTACGACGACCACTTTCGACTGCAGTCCATCAACGGAGAGCCGTCATTCAGTTCAATCAGTACGTGTGCTCAAAGATTGAACAGTCCACCAGCAATTCCACTCATAACCAGGAAACCGTGAGTCAAAAAATCTTATATTGTCAAAAACCTATTTCTTGTTATACGTATTTTGAATTGTACACTGCTTTATGCAGTTAATATTATGTTGAAAAGAAAATATTGTGAAAATAATTAATACAATACGAACAATAAATATCAAAAAAAGTTAATATTATATTTGAATCAAAAATTGTATTTGCATTCATTTATTTATATTACATTGGCGCCCAACGTGGGGCTCGATACAGAGGAAAACTCTACTTCGACTCCAAAGATTAAAAAGTGAAGATTTTCTACGTCATTTTCTACATCGATTTGCAAAGAAGAAAGCTACATCGTGAACATGGCACCGAAGAAAAACGTAACAGAAGAAACATTCCACGCATTCCAGCGTGAAGTGGAACAAAATAGTAAATATCTAGTTAATCAATTATTACAAAAAATTGGTAAACTAGAAGAAGAAAATAATAAGAAAATTATAGAAATTGAAGAAAAATGCAAAAATGAAATTGAAAAACTAAGTGAAAATTACTACAGAGAAATACAACATCTTGAACAACAAAACAATGACAACATTCAAAATTTAAAGAAAATGTTCATAGATCAAAAACAAAATGCAAATATTATGAACAACGAACATCGAAATTCAAACGTTGAAATATCGAAACCGCTGTTCTATGCAAACAATAAAGACCAGCATCCAATCGAATTTTTACAAAGTTTGGAAGAATATTTTAAAGTCAAACAAATGAGTAAAGAAGAAAAGTTGATTATAATTCGAGACTGCTTGAAAGGTACAGCCAGCAATTGGTATTCGACTGTAAAATTTCAAGTACGTGATTATGCAAATTTTCGTGATGTATTCATTGACGAATTTTGGTCAAGACAAATACAGATACAAACCTGGAGCAGCTGTCTCAACACCACGCAAATACCGGATAATGTCACATACCGAGAACACTTCTCCCAATGGGCATCCAAACTACGTCACCTACAAGTCCCTGAGCTGTCCGAGGAGGAAATTGTAAGTAACGTGGCAAATCATTATCCTGGCTACTTACGTGCAATATTAGTATCATTACCAGACAAATCGGTAATCAATGCTATGAAGGTACTAGGTGCGGAGGAAAGCCGCAGAAGTAAACCATTGGCTACAGAAAACAATTCTAGTAATCAGAAAAGCAACAATCAAAACAATAACAGCTGGAGCCACAGAACACCACAAAATGATTGGAGTCACAGAACCCAACAGCGGAACAACAATCAGCCACGGAACAACAGGTGGAACAATAAAGACGAACAACCATCACAACAATTGCCGCCACCACAGTCTCGTGACAATACACAACAAATAAACCAGGTGACTACCAATAATGACAGAGGGGACAATCCAGGCACATCGCACGCCATCAACCTCATACAAGATAAGGAAGAATCATTCAGTCCATACATTCAGTGTTGGGTTGAAGGAGAAGAGGTAGAACTATTGGTCGACACAGGGGCGACTATTAGTGTCCTTACCAAAGAAATCGTTGACGTCATAATTAAAAAGGATCCGACTATTCCACAACTACCTATCAACGGAGTACGGATAAGCAACGCAGTCGGAAAACAAATCTGTAAGATTTCCAAACAAATATTCTGCAAGTGTCAACTTAATGACGCTGTGTTCCACGCCAACTTCATACAAGTGGACGGACTCAACGAAAAAGGCATTATCGGGGCGGACATACTCAATCAACACAAAGCTCAGATAAACTTCCGTAACCACACCATACAGTTTGAAGTCGATAACCAGCCATACTCAATACCATTCTCAAAAAAGCTGCCTAAACCAATAACGACAGACAGCAATCTACGAGAAATAATGTTAATCGATCAAGACGAGATGGACGACACGATCGACATCAGCAGTGACGAACAAGAACAGTTCAACTCAGTCATGAAAAAATATCAACATATTTTTTCCGACAATCCGGGAAAAATCAAACAATTCGAGTGTCAGATCCGCGTCACCCCTGGGGAACCGATCTATCAAAAGCCATACCCAATCCCGATGTCAAAGGCGATCAAAACGGATAAAGAAATTCAAAGGATGTTAGCATTAGGAATAATAGAACATTCAAGTTCACCGTGGTCGTCACCCATGGTGGGTGTAGAGAAAAAAAATGGAGACATAAGGATCTGTTTGGATGCTCGCAAAATAAACACTCGAATCATACCAGACCGAGAACGACCTATGAACATGGAGGACATTATGAACAAATTCAGGGGAGTAAAATACCTGAGCTCCATCGACCTCACTGCCGGCTATTGGCAGTGCTCGCTAAAACCAGAATGCAGAGAAGTAACAGCATTTCTACACAAAGGCCGCAATTACCAATATAAGGTCTTACCATTTGGTCTTGTCAACTCAGTCGCAGAGTTTCAAAAAATTCTCGACCAAGTACTAGGACCTGAAATACTACAATTTGTAGCCATATATGTAGATGACCTACATATCACATCCAGCAGCTTCAACGAACATATGGATCATTTGGAGACCATATTCGATCGATTTGATCAATACAATGTAAAAATCAACATCAACAAATCACACTTCCTAAGAAGAAAAATCACCTTCCTGGGCCACATCATATCTGAAAGAGGTATCACCATGGACCCCGAAAAAGTTCAAACAATACAAAATTTTCAGCCTCCACAAAATAAGAAACAGGTACAAGCTTTCCTTGGATTTATTAATTTTTATAGAAAATACATCCG